AGTCAATTAGTATTATTTTCTTATTTTATTGGCAACAAATTTGCCACAACAGTTTCCATTAAAATTTCGTATGTCACTCAAACCCTTGTTAACGGCCACACAAAACGTGTCATAAAAACAAAATCTCATCATAAAAACCGTACAGACAAAGGCATTTGGTTGGTGGTCGGGTTGGTCGGTCGGTCGGTCGGTCGGGACGTTTAATAAATTGTGGTAATTACAGTGGTTATAGCCAATGATACCAACAGCACAAAATACCGACTAAACTAAATCGTAAAAAGGTCAGTTACCATGGCTTTAGCAATAGCAATGAGAAAGGCAAAAGGTTAATAGCCCAGCCAACTAACTAGTACGTGTCATAGACCCACCGGACCGAGAATAATCCGACGAGTCCCTTTCTCTGTGTTAAGGATTGACACTACACCTTTCTCTAGCTCTATCTGTATATTGTCTACTAACAAGAGAGCTGTTGTTTTAGTATCAATGCTATCCTTTTTCTATTATGCCATATTTTTATTAGCATTCGCAACCATTTGACGAAGGACTAGCAAGAAAAAACCAAACAAACACACACACACTCATCTGAACTGGACTAGACACTATAGTATCATCCATAATGCATATGTTTCATGGTTTACTCCGTATAGTGTTACAACGAAACGAGGATAACGAAAGGATTTGTATGAATTTATTGTTACTCTTTAAATGTGTGTGAGTGAGTGTTACAACAACAACGTATTCACATGGCAAAGTGGATCAAGAGGGGTTTTTTATTTCATTGATGCCTTATTTTTGTAGAGGATTTGTGTAGGGATCAAAACAAAACAAAAAACTGTTCGTAAATACTGGCTTATGTATTCACAGCCATTGCTTTACTGGGGGGTTGTGGGAAAATCCTCCAAAAATCTAAATGTATGTGTGTATGTTTCAAAACAAAATAACAATTAATTAAATTGAAAATCGCATCACAAAAATAACAGCCCAATGAAAGAGTTAACAACATAAAAATAAAAATGCTGAAATTTTACAACTCTCAAGGTTGTTAACATGTGTTTTTCCTCGCCTCTTCTTTGCCACATCATTCAAGGACATAATTTTTGGCCAAAACGAAATGAAAAAACTCATCAACATATACTCGCACACACACACACTCACAGACGCAAAAATGCAAAGTAGCCACTCACACACAAGGTTGTTTGCCTTTTATTAAGCAAAATATTCGGATGTTTTGTTATGCCATTCTTTTTTTGGAATTAATTGAAAAAAAAATACATAAACTTGTTGTTTTAGAAATAGTAGAGAGAAAGTGAAAGGATTCGGTATATCAGACCAATAAAATTAAAAAGCATTGAAAATATGAAGGACAACACTTTTATGAACAAAATACATCATAATTTATATTCTAACTATTTAGGAAAGACAATAACAAGTAATAGATTATCATGAGCTATGAATTTGGGTTAATAGTTGTAAAGGGTTATCTATTTCTTGATTGCAAAAAAAAAAAAAATAAAACACATATAAAATATTTTTTCATTATATATTTTTATACTCTACACAACTATGTTTTGTGTGGTCCAAAGTGTTACAAACACTTGATATATTCAACCCATCTTTTAGTACACCGATCGTCATATGTGGACTAACTTAGTTTATCTAGACATAGGTGTCCGTCCGTCCGTCTATCTGTCCATTATAATTTGTAAACACGCTACCGGTCCCAGTTATGGAGTATCGTCACGAAAATTTTTGATGTAGGACCTGTTCTGATCAAAGAAGACCCACTTGTTTTTGGTAATGGCACGGATGAACACCACAAAAATGTGCATGGTGTAGGGGATATGTCCATGGTGTAAGCATGGACCTTTTCATGATGATCGGGTAATATTTAAAAGGTTAAATAGACACTGACTTTTGTGTTAAAAATAAGAAAAACGGCATTCTATGGCGTGTATGTTAACTACTAAAGGATATACGCTGGGGAAGTTGACGTTATATCCAAGAGGAGTGGCTGATATTTATATTGATGCCAATTATTAGGTTGGGGAAAAAATCTATTATCTTTATCCATTATCGCTCACTTGTTTCAAATGTTTAACCCAGATAACGCCAGAGAAATTTAATTTTAATACTTTTGGTGAAAATCACATTTGAAGTTTAGAGAAATCGAAGCCAAAAATCAACAACTCCGTTTTTTTTACTGGAGATTACTGGGCATTTTCAAAGGTGTCCCCGTGTGACATTTTACGGAAATTTATAATAATTTTTTGTAGTTAAAATATTTGAAATAAAATACATTACTTATGTTTGAAATGATTGTTGAAATGCAAAAAAAAAGTTTTAACGAAATTCTAAATTTGCAATGGTACTCATGTTCCCTCATCTACAGTTTGTCGACAACTGAACTAGAGACCAAGATTGCCATATACAAGAATCGGTTGTGGGTCGGAAATGCCCCCCTCTCTCCTAATGGTTCAAGATCTTCCTTATTTGCCAGCTTGGTTTTTAGTTTTTGGGTTTGCTACAACAACATTTTGTCAATACTCGTCGAAATTTGAAGTCGAGAATGAAGGGGTTCCCTTTACTGAAATGCATAATATTAACCCTACTTTCGACATGGTCTTTATGTATTAATCTGTTGTATTGAAAATTAACAAATCTACAATTCTACTGATTATTGTCTTACGATTGGATTTATTATTTTGACAGCAACAGCAGCCATTTAACAAATTTAAATTTTTACACATACCAAAATACATTTACATAAATGTAATAAATAGAATTCTACATATTATTAAATCGATTCAAGATTCATCAACATTTCTAACAACATTAATTGTACAAAAAATTATTATACAAATCATTGTAGACGTCTGGAAACTTTTTTACGATATTTTTAATTACTTAGTAGACTGTAGTTGAATTTTGGAATTTTTTGAATTATAGAAATTGAGTAAACGAAATGTAATATTTGTGCTTTTTTGAATTTCATTTACTCTGGGCTGGTGATAAAAGTAGTAACGTTTATGTATCTTTAGGCTTGTAATTGAATATATTAGGGTGTCCCATAAGTTTATTTCGCGCCACACTATGAATGAGTCTGACTGGCTATGCTTATATAACCATGCAGGTTTATCTCTTAGCCGTACTTTCAAATTACGTTTTGTTGGCGACAAAGCCTCTTTTAAATTCTTTTTTGTCCCCCAAAAGAAACATTTACGGCATATTATGCTTCATTGCTTTAAAAAAGGCAGTAGTGCAAAGGACACTGTAGACGAGATTTGCACCGTTTACCGGAGTGGATGTGGACCTTATCAAGACTGTGCTCGCTGGAAATATGTGCGCGATATGCGCAAGATTGTGGATGACTCTAACATTCCCATGACAATGGTACTTTGGCATTTGATCAAGATGGGATATGCAAAAAGGGAAGAAACTTGTGGTACAACCTAATATAAACAAATACTGGATTTTTTTAATACTATTGTAGTTTAGAAACATAAATTGAAGATTGATAAAGTGTAACTAGATTTTAAAAATTTTAGCAATTTACATAAGGTGTTTTAAGGTGTTTAGTAGTAATAAAAATCATTTAATAATCCTCCAATTAATAAACAGTGATTTCTGATAGAAAATATTTAAATAATTCTCAAACGTATACATTATTTGGTTCCCAATTTACTTAATCAATCTTATGCTTATTCTACAATTTACCCTAATTTGCTTGACGTTTGCACATATTGAGGGAATGAATCTCCAACTTTTATATTTACAATCTGATGCAGCCCGAGGCATTAAAATTCGACCAACTTGGTTCATTTTATCAACAGTCTCTTTTTTGGTCTTAATGACCTATAATACTAGTTCGCTCTGTCTAACCAAATAACAGTAAGCCTTTTATACTCGCTGTAGTCCCTCAGATTATTTTCGTACACTTTTCTGATCCATAATTTTATATAGCAATTGACTATTTTGCTCCAGTCTCTAATGCTACGCAGATTTTTAAGGTATACATATTTATTCTTAGTACATGCTTTTTCTACATATATTTTCAATATAATCATGCACATTTCATTCTGGGATTTGATATGTAAAGGTTTTTTGATTTAGCATTCAAACCTCTTGTTCAAGGCCTCTTGAGACAATTTTATGGAATATTAAATCATTCTCCATGATTATAGATATTTTGTGCTCAGTATGATAGACATTTTTCGCCTTCTCCATAAAATATTGTTTAAATTTCTCTTTGTTTGATATTCCGCAAAGATTGTCTATAGTAGAGAAATAATCAAAATTGTTTAAGATTTAGTAAAATTTTTCCATTTAGAATTCACTGTATTTGGGTATTTGAATTTATAGTAAAATATTAAATAAAATGCATGTTTTTTTTACATCTCAAATAAACGCTATTATATGGGCAAAATAAGCAATGTTTGGTGCTTCATTAAAAAATAAACTCCCCATTTCATATTGAAGAAAATACAAAAATCAGTTTTCCCAGAAAACTTTTGAGTTAAATTGGTGGTCAAAAAGTTTGACCATAATTATTTTGTTCTAAATGATTTTAAGTTTTTTTAATTTATTTGCTAAAGGCAAACTTGTTATGCGCCCCATGCCCTGTTATAATTTGTTTTGAAAAATTGCTCACCTTAGCAAAATTTAAATTTATTAATATTTGTTATGCTGAACAAAAAGTTTTGCAACTTTTTTTCTTCTTCTTGCTTCTGAGTTACTGTTTTTTTATATTACGTTACATTTTTTTACTTCTCTTTTTTTCTGAAATGCCCAAGATTTGTTTTTAACTTATTTTTTACATTATATTAGTTAATATTATTGGTTTTAGTTACTACCTATCTAATACTTGGGTGTAATTTGTTTGCTGCCACTTCTTCTACTTTAGACAAATTACACACTGAGTTGAGTTTACCCTATCTTTTTCTCTCTAATCTCCCTCTCTCTTTCTCTCTGACACTGTCTGTATGTATGTCTATATGATTTTGTTTCTTTTTACAATTGTTTTTTGTTATATTTTTGTAGGAGTCTCTTACAATATATTGATGAGGAACTGAAACTAAGGTAACTACCCAAAAAAAAAGATAAATTTATCACCAAACCAAAGCAACAACAAAAAAAAACAGAAAACTCAAATTAAACTGTATAGAAACCCCAGCAAAAAAAAATTTAGACAAGTAACTTCTAATTCACTTGACTTCATTACAACTTCTTCACTTACACCCACAAACAAACAAACCACAAATTGAGGGTAACAACAACACTAACACACCTCCCAAACAATTTCGAAAAACAAAAAAATGGTTATGTTGTAAATTCTAAATCACTGTCAACCACCAACACCATTACAACTACTACTACTACCTTAACACTTTTACTGTTGCAGTAACATGAGAAAACGAAACGATTTTTTATTTGGTTTGAAATCAAAAAATTACACAGCTCTCTAACACTTTGATTTTGTTGGTGTTATTACATTAAGATTTACTCTTCACTTCCATCATACCCACACCATCACAAATCAACAACAACTACAACATTGTCATCATCACAAACATTACATTTGTTGTAACATTGTCGTTTTTTCTCATTCTCATCATCACAGCATCATGTTCTTCATTTCTTCATCTTCTGTCTCATTTGATTGGGGAATTGGCATTGGGTTAGTTGGGTGTATCACTTTATTTTCTTTCCTTCCTTCCTGTTTCCATTATGCATTGTCATTTTCATATTTCTTTTTTTCATTTTACTTCCGTTAATTTAGTGTCATTTTAATAAATGTCTCCGTATCTCCTATTATTGTTTATTATTTATGAAAAGCAAAGGTACCCCGTAACCCCTCACCTTTTCGATTGTGAAATCATTTATCATTGTGAAAAATTATTGTTTTGTGCTGAACCATTCTAGATTTGTCACTATTATTTGGTGATTATGTTGTTGTTTTTTTATTTGTTATTCCCTAAAAGAGTATCAATCATCGGTGATAAGATTAATTATATTTATTGACAACGATTTTACTAAAAACAGTTAAATGTATTCTCGAAATTTTAAGAGTTTAAATACCCAGTAGTTCGAGTAACTGGTGATGAACTAGATATTTTACTAATTACCTGTAAGTACCACTAGTTACCACTTCATGCCCTAGACTGGTGAATTTAACATGTGTATGTCATTGGGGAAGTCAATTGTCCCCTGCCTGCGTTACCAGTATACAGTCATTTCGATAGTCGATTCATTACCCTTTGCATTACCAGTAACTACTGAATTGGTATGATGTGTGTAAACAACTTTTTCAGTTGACAAAAAAATCCAACAGTCTATTTTGTGTTCCTTTTTGGGGTATGAAGTAACTAGATCACCAAGTAACTAGCTATATAACTATATAATAGCAGACAATTGATATTTTTTGTACAACTGGGTAATGATAATAGCAGCTATCTAGAAAGGATTTATTTTCTTAAATGAATTTATTCTACTCCCAACTTTTTATAATATTTATTATCCAAAATTATTTTATTGTTTTTTGAAGTATTCTCCATCATATCGAAGGATTTTTCCCATATGATTAAGACATTCCCATAACATGCGGTCTGAACGCTTCGAAAAACATCTTCTTTCGATGAAAATCACAAATAAAAGTTTTATCTTGATGTTATTAAATAAAAAGAAGTTATTGTGTACCAAAGCAGACCTATATATCGGATGACCTATAAATAACAGCTTTAGCGGATCAAAAATACGTATGTTTGAGCGGATGTGTGGGAGCTCGCATTGTCATTATACACCACTCAGATTTGACCTCCTACTTGCTTTGAAGTGCTTGTTCCACGAATTGGTTCCGTTGGATTTGGCTCATGTTCGAAGGCCGACCCGGTTGGTTTCTGTTTGGTTTCAGCGTCATACGCACAGATCATTGATTCGTCTCTTGAAGTGATGTTATAAGCGTCATTTGAAGCATCCCTATCGTTTTTTGTTTTTAATTGTGTGAACCAATCGATACGAGCCTCTTTTTGGACGACTGTCAAATTTTGCGGAATCCAACGTGAACTAAATTTTTTATACATATTTATTATTATTGAATGTTGTCTGATGGAGAAAGTGCCTAAAGATGTCTCTATATGACGATCTAACACTTTCAGTTCACTGACGACAACGTGGTTCTGTGGTACAACGGCCTTTTTATACCCTCAGCCTTATGGCCAATGATATCGAAATGCCTTATCGAAATATTGGTTTTAGACCTCATGTTTCTTTGGACCAAATCCGTTTCAGACAATTTGGAGTCGATTTACAAATGTCTGTTCGTGAGTCTGTCTGTCTCTCTGGCCGGCTGGTGTGCACGATAGCTCTTGAATTCAACCAAACATTGCACATCGTAATATTTCTTCCAAATTTAGTTCGAAGATGGCGAATATCATTTCACTCCTTCTGGTACCACCCCATCAAAATAATCAAAATTGTGCAAAAGTAAATAATTATATAATATCATGTGAACGAACTATTCTATTTGAACCAAACATTGCACAAACTATTATCTTTACCAAGCCTAGATCAAGTCCGAAAATGGATCCCATTATTCCACTCCTTCTGGTACCTCCCCACAAATGATCCAAATTTTAAATATATTTAAATCCAATATTAGGCAAAAAGAAATGTGCTATTTGAAACAAATTTGGCACAATCAATTATCTCTAGCAAGCCTAGATTAAGTCCGAAAAAGAGAACCATTGACTCACCTGACCCACAAAATGGTCAAAATTCTGCAAAAAAAAAATTCATTTTATAATATGATGCGAACGGACTATCCGATTTGAACCAAACTTTGTACAACCTATTACCATTACCGAACGTAGATGAAGTCCGATGATCGGACCCATTAGTCCACTCCTTCTGTACCTCCCCCACAAAGGGTAAACATTTTCAAAATTATAAATCCCATATTTGACGACAGCAATGTCCAATTTGACCCAAACTGTGCACAATCTATTATCTTTACAGAGCCTAGATCAAGCTCTGGTCAGAAAGGGTCAGTATATTAAAAACTTGTACATTTTATTAAATTGAAGTAAATTTAATAACCAATGTTATTAAAACATTATTAATGAAACCTCTTTGATAAAAACATAACTTATATAAAGCGAATAATAAAACCTGTGTGTAATTCCGAAGACCTCCGCAAACCATATGTATCTGTCGGCAACACCGAGGAAGCTACTCCTAAATTTTCATCTCATCGATGTATGGCTTAAATGTGATAAAACAAATTTCAGTTAACCATGATGTACCGTTATATTCTATTTTTTTCATAATTTTCAATAATGAAAACTTATACCCAAAGATTAGTTATTAACAAAAAAAAAAAAACATATTTAAAATATGGTAAAATCATTTAATTTCCTTAAATCAGATGTAAAGTTATTTAGGAGCTATATCAAGACGTGGACATATATTAATTATATTCTATAGGATTATTTTCGTGCACATGAGCAACATATGTGAAGTATTGATTTCAGACCTCAAGGTTCATTGCACCAATCCAAAGTCATCCATACATTGCATATCGTAATATTATTTCAAAATTAGATCAAGTTCAATGATGGGATCCATCAGTCTAATTATATTTCTACCTCCCCCCACAAAGTGTCAACATTTTGAATTGTTCGATTTTATCCCAAACTTCGCACATCCTAATATTTTTACCAAACCTACATTAAATCAGATGGGGTCTATAGGACAACTTCTCCTAAACCTCCCCCACAGATTGACATCTAGTGTGTGCTATGTGTTCAGAATCAGGTCGTCAAAAGATTATCCATCATGACACATCCTCTGATGTAGTAAAAGAAAAATTACATACATACGTATGTAGGTACATAGGTCGGTATATGTTTAACAATTTATCATTATTATGCTTCAATATATTTGCCATAATGAAAAGGTTTTGAAGACAATTAGGAATTAGGACAATTAGGATTAGGAAAACACACATATGTATGTATATTGGTAAATCTCTCACGGGCAATGTCGTATTTCTACTGGAAATTGTTAAATTTAATTTACATTAACATAACTCACTGGATGTAGCCCCTTTCTTAAATTCGGGATTTATTTAATAATATACATTTATAATTTGTAAGATTTTTCGAATCAGATTTTAATAAAAAAACGTCTAAGGTTATGAATGAAAAAATCAGAGACATTTACTGCCAACTATAAATGACTACTCAATGGACACCATTATAGAACCATTACTGCATCATTGTCATTATTATTACCATTAGTTTCATATCCATCATCATTATATTCAATATTTGGACATTACTATTTTATTTATTCTTCTTTTTTATTATTCATTCAATATTTACGCATAACATTTTAGTCATTTAAATCATGGCAATTTATTACACAATGGTACTACTAACACATACTTTTTCCTTATGTTTTCACTATAAACATGTTACATTATTTTTAAATATATATATGTATGTAAATTTATATGTATGCTGCTTTGTTAGCGACTAATTGGAATTTTTGATTGGTTTTGATTGTTGTTATTATTATTTTTATTTTTGGTTATTGTTTTTTTTTTTTTTTTTTTTGCTGTTTTTAATTATATGAATATCCTAGATTGACATACTTATCTGATGCTAATCATTTGTGTGTATGTGTTTTCACTTTTTTCTCTCGTGTAGTTGTGTGTTGCATTGTGCAAAATTGTGTGGTGTCTGTTTGCGTTTTAAAACTTTATTGCAATTTATATTGTTTATAATTTAATATCATTTTCTTGTCATAATTATGTATTTATTTTATTAAATATGTTGTATTTAAGTAGTGTCATAAAATATATTAATTTAAAACACATTAAATTAAAATTCAATTGATAATTTACTCTGGCTCTTATTTGAAATAATTGAAGTGAAATGAAAGAAATATATTTAATAACGATTTCCGACTTTCGCATATAAACCTTAAATATTAATATGTTGATTCATATTAAGACATAACTAACTTTGTTAAGATATAACAATGTTTTAGCCTGTCTGAATTTCCCGAATTTCCATATA